CCATCGTCGTCATCACCATCATCATCACCACCACCATCATCATCGTCATCATCACCATCACCATCAGCAACACGATCACCACAATCACCACCACCACCATCATCATCACCATCATCACCATAATCGTCTTTATCATCACCATCATCGCGCTCAGCATCGTCATCACCATCATAATCACCATGACCATCGTCATCAGCATCATCGCAGTCATCAGCAGCAGCACCAGCACCACCACGAACATCATCATTATCACCACCATCACCATCAGCATCACCAAACCAATACAAGCACCACCACCACCAACACCATCATCAGTACCATCACAGTCACCATCACCACCACCATCCCCATCAGCATCTCCATCACCATCTCTATTATCATCATCATCAGCATCATCACCATCATCATCATCATCATCATCATCATCATCATCATCATCAACATGATCAGCATCACCAGCCGAATTACCATCATCATCGCCATCACACTCACCATAATCATCACCATCAGCGTTGTCATCAGCATCATCATCATCACCATTACCATCGTCATCATCCTCATCATCATGCTCATCATCATCACCACCACCATCACCATCGTCATCACCATCACCATCACCATCAACATCACCTTCATCATCATCATCATCATCATCATCATCACCATCACCATCATCATCCTCATCATTATCGTCACCATCAGCCTGTATTTCCCTCTATCTCCCTGAGAGAGAAAATGCGCGCGTGTGTCCGGCAAGGCTACTGATTGTCCAACATGCGGGGCCCCTTCGCAACGCCCTCCGGCTTGCCGTCGGCTCTCTTTCCTTGGCCCCTCTCCCTCTCCGGCGTGGTATTGGCTATCGCCGCGCCTTGCCCGCATCCAACAGCTCGGCGGTCGGTTATGTCCGATTGCCGCTGGGGCTTCCTGGGCTGGACACGTGTCAACAGAACTAGATTCATCGTCTGCGCGGTGTCCCTGCTCAGATGTTTTAACCACTGGGTGAAATTCTCTGGCGGGTCGGAAGAACAAATGCGTGTGTGTGTGTGTGTTCATGTATGTGTGTGTGTGTGTTTGCGCGCGTGGTGTGTATGTGTGTGTGTGTGTGCGTGTGTGTGTGTGTGTGTGTGTGTGTTTGTGTCTGTGTGTTTGTGTGTCTTTGCGTCTCTATGTGTGGCACCCACCTGGTTCCGTGGAGTCGGGTGAGGCACCCTGGCGCTCAGGGGACGCGCGTCCTGACCAGTTCCGGCACGAGTGCCTGCACTCCCCAGACATATGGTCCCTAATTACCGCCACTCGGTGCCGCTGGCCCTATGGGATTCTGGACCGCCGGTTCACTCAGGAGTGGTTCAGCCTTCATGAACGACCATGCGTGCTCCCCCGTCGGTCTGCTGCCAGCACGCTGGACTGTTACGCAGCCCCGCGCTTCGCCACGTCTGTGGCGCGCCGACCTCTGGCGCCTGGTGGCGACAAGGTCCAATTCACCCATCCTGGTGGTCACGCCCCTGGGGTACCCGCACGCTTGCAGCTTCCTGGCAGCTTTAGCAGCTTGCAGTCCCCGCCCACGGCGCTGCCTTGCTTTCCTCGGCGGTTGCAGCAACTGCCCTCGGCGCAGCAGCTTCCCCTGGCGGTAAGTTCTGCTGGTGCCTGCGCGCGCGCCGGCAAGTAGCTCCGCTTGTAGCCCGAGCCCAGCTCTGCAGCTTCAGCCCTCGGCGCAGCCCAGCGTCCCTCGGCGGTAGTCCTGCAGCCGCCTGTGCGCGCGCTGGGTCAATTCGAGCCGACTTGTGACGCCACTGGCGCCTTCGCCTGCGGTCGCGACGGAAAAAGTATCTGTGTGTGTGTGTGTCCGTTTGTCAGTCTGCCTGTCTGTCTGTCTGTCTGGCTGTCTGTGTTTTTGTGTGTCCTGTGTGTGTCCTGGGGTGTTACCGCTAGTTGGATCCCACTGGCGCGTCGGAGGGAAACATGTGTCCTGCATGCTCCTGATCCTGGCTGCTCAGTGGTGGGCTATGCCATGCCCGTTTTTCTCTGGAAGCCTCAGCCGAACGTGCGCTGCCACACGAAGAAGATCATTGTTTTTGAACGCGTCCCGTAATAGTTGAACTGGACCCGCTGATTGCACCCCACGGCGCGCCAGGGGAAACACTCAGAGTGTTCGTGTGTGATTGTTTGAGCTAAATGTTTGTCAGCGTGGACCCTAGACAGTAGTTCTTGATCTCTGGATGTGTAAGCTATGTGGTGCGAGGTAATACTGTGTGTTGTAAGCTGTGTGGTGTAAGCTGTGTGGGGCAAGAAATATGGTACAAACTATGATGTGCAACTGTGGTGCCATCTATGTAGTGTAAACTATGCGGTGCAAACTGCGCGAACGCCCAACGCACGGGGGCCCAACGACAGGACACTAGCTGGGCACATGGCGGAACCTCGACAGGCCAATCCAGCGCACGGCCCACGACTGGGCACCAACCGGGCACTACTCGAAACCTCGACAGCCCAACCCAGCCTCACGGGGCGCCCACGAAACGCCCACGACCGAGCACCATCCAGGCACCAGGCGAGGCCCCGCAAGACCAACCCGGTGCACGGAGAGCCAACATGGCGCCCACGACCGAGCACCAACCGCGCACCAGGCAAAAGCCCGACGGACCGACCCAACGCACAGGGCCCCCACGAGACGCCCACGAACAGGCACCAATCGGGTAACAGGCGAAGCCTCGCTTGACTCTCCCACAGTCCTGGGCAACAGAAGTGAGGGCCTTAGGTGCAAGCTTTGCCCGGGGAGCAAAACCATGCGCCAGAAGTCTGGGTCCTTGCCATTCCCTGCTCCTTCTGCTTTCGGGCCCTGGGGCCATCATGAAAGCGATACGGCTCGAATCGCCGGATATCACCGCCAGATGCCATCAAGATCGAACCTTTCGTTAGCGGATCGATGGGACCCTCCTTGGATCACAGCGGGGGGGCTGCTAAGGGCATAAGGGGGGTCATATCAGCAGATGCTGGGGCAGACCAGATCTGGCCCAACCAACCTTATAAGTGGGTTTCAAATGCCCTGGATCTGGATTGCTTAGTGAGTGAGGCAAGGGACCAGGCTATGTCGGTTCAGGCCAGATACGACCCGACTTGGCAGCCACATATTACGCCCCCCCGATCCCCGTAGCTCCCCCCGCGGTGATCCAAGTGGGGACCTCCAGTGGAAGAAATCTCCATGAGGGGCACCTCTTGGCTGGCCGATGCTCATTCCACCCACGGGCTGCAAGGGCACTCCGTGGGCGGCCCTGAATACCTTTTGGAAGGGTCTCCGGGCGCTCTGAATTAGAGCATGCATGTGAACGAGCTTGTATACGCAGGCGACACACTTTTGCCAGCCACCTCCGGCGAATCAGCCGGTGCGCACATGCATGCCGTGCAACGTGTGGGGCAACACTGCGGTTTACAGCCTAATTGGCGCAAGCTAGAAGCCTCGGCTGTAGGAGCCGACGTATGCATTCTCCAGCCGGACGGCACCTAAAACCCACAGAAGGGAAACATAGTTCATTCAGGTATTTTGATTAGCGACGATGGCAAAATAGGTTCAGAGTTGTCGCGCCGCCTAGGAGCTGCAGGCGCAGATTGTGACAAGTGGCCAGGGTATGAAGCCATTCGACTCTCACGCAGCGGAAGAAGATTCAGATGTTTGAGTCTTGCGTCTTATGTAAGCTGTTGTACTGTTTGCAAACTTCGTATCTTCAAAAGCACGAGATGTGTCGTTTGGACGCATTCCAGGCGCGATGTCTGCGCAAGTTGTTGCGCATTCCCTACTCGTACATCAGCATAATCTTAAACGAAGCCGTGCTTCAACGGGCTGGCGCCCGCCCGCTTAGCAGCACGCTCCTCCGTAGACAACTTCTTTTTTTTTCTGCGTTAAATCGCCAGAAAGCCGCATGATGACGCTGTGCGTTGCGCAGTATTCCAGCCCTTTTCCTCCCTCCTCCTCCCCCCTCCCACCAAGAGATGAGAGGGCGACCACGAGCAGCGTGGTCCCAGGAAGTTTACAGGCACGACTGCGAAGCAGCTGGGGGTGTGAAGGCCCTTCCGGCGCTCTGGCAGGACACCATTTCTTCGGCCACGGCGTGGCGTGTCGCCGTCAGCAAGTATTGCGATACCACGTGATAGTGGCTATGTGCTCATGCGCGTTTCGTACTCAGCGTTTTGCTCGCTTGCTTGCTCCAGGCGCTCTTGGGAAGGGGTCTGAACATGACACGCGGCCTTCCGGGGAGGCCCTCAAAAGCTGACGCCTCTGCTGGCCCCCGCCACAGCGGAGCCACTCATGTTCTGCCTCCTCCGAACATCGGGTGCGCCGCAGAGGGGTGACCATGCCGGGTGCAATTCTCGCATCATGGCCCGAGGCATGTGCGCGAACGCGGACGGGGGGATGTCGGTGGACGTGCTGAACAGATAAGAGAAGGCCATGCTACCGGGGATGCCTCATGGCCCCGGCCATGAGATTCTCCCCAGGCCACGCCCCCCTCTCTGACGACCCCGAAACAAAGTGAAGTCGACCTTGCGACGCCTCGCAAGGTTGACTTCACTTTTCCTCTGAAGAGCCTCGCGCATCCGTTGGCATTCTGTCGGGGCTGCCTCCTGAGCACTGACGTGGCTCGCGGAAGGCCGATCGGGGCATTGCCAGTGCCCATGCGGAGTCCCCACTGGGATCTGGCTACTGCGGAAGGTGAAAGCATGCCGCGCATGTGAAGGCAACATACACCGAGAGAGCGAGCGCCCGTGAGTGAATCAGTTTAGGATGCCAGCCATGAGACCGTGATGCCACTTTCGGTTCTTGAGCTGTCCATGATGCCCGCTCGTGCCCCAGCCCAGGGACCTCGCATCCCCCTGTGAGTGTAGTCCGGGCCGAGGAGGCGGTCTGCGCCCCCCCCCGCGTCCATCTCTCGGGCCAAGTCTGCACGCGGGGGATCTGACTGGGGCGTGCTCCACACAGTGGCGCTCCCTTGCAAGCCGCCGACCGCTGCCTCTTCGGCCTCCTCGTAGTCGCCGGCCAGCGTTGTGATCTGCTCGAGGTTGATCGCCTCGGGTACCTGACGGCGGGCGGGGCTGGGGGGGGAGGGCGCGGCAGGAGAGCAGGACAGAGGAACGAGAAGCGGAGGGGAACTCGGGAGATGTGGGTAAAGGGTGAGCAAGGAGGGAAGACCATCACGAGCTGCATCAGGACCACACGGATGGGGACGAGAGGGCGGACAGGGCGGAGGAAACTCACAGGAAGGGGGTCACGGTTATGTGACGACGAGGGGGTGGCGATAAATATACACCAACACGCACAGAATGTGGACGACGAGGAAGCGCGGGGGGCCGCAGAGCAGCCGAACGCTGCCCACGGTCGCCGAAGAGACGCCGCAGGGCCGCCGATGGGCCGCCGCTGAAGGGCCGCCGCTGGGCCGCCGCCGAAGGGCCGCCGATGGGCCGCCGAATGGCCGCCCAGGGGCCACGGAAGGGCCGCCGAAGGGTCACCGAAGTGCCGCCGACGAAGGGCCGCCGAAGGGCCGACGAAGGGCCGCCGACGAAGGGCCGCCGAAGGGCCGCCGGCCATGCGCGCAGCCGTCTGCACTTCTGGGCCTCGGGGTCACACATGCCGAAGGGGGGAGAAAGAGTCTCGGGCGAGGCGCCCCGGCCCCGCCCCGCGGACGGCGGACGGGAGCCTCTCGGGACCTCGGGGTGGCAGCGATGCATCTGGGGATGGCGGCGCTGCATCTTGGGATGGCAGCGTTAATTCAACGTAATGCGGGATGACGATTAATACAAAACATGGGAGAGAACGATTAACACAAATAGTTCTCTGCTAGTTCTGCACAATTCTGACTGGAGGAGAACGATCAAAAAATAATGTTCCAGCCCGCGGCCGGTTTTTTCCAATCGTTATCCCGGGCGCCGCCGCGTGAACACGACCCCCGGTCATTTATGAATCGTCATCCTCCATTAGGGGAGCCGGATGGAGGAGGAGGTGAGGAGGGGGAGGGGTCTCAAGATGGCAGCGGTGTCCACAACGGCGATCGCACGATAGAACATGGAGAACATGGCGACGGGCAGCGACCGTCATAACTAGCCATGGCCCCGCCTCCTCCTCTGCAGAGGCGCCAATTGCCGCCGAAGGCCGCGGAAAGGCCCCCGATGGCCCCCTCGGTCGCTCAAACGTCCACAGTGGCACTAACATCGAAATCCGTCCGAACCGGCAGCAAAACCGAAACCGACAGGAACGGACATGCCGCATACTCAATCTAGAGGGGCGCAACGACGCATGCGGCGGTGCAACACGACCGAACCGCACCGACGGAGACTTCGCTGGTTCGGTCGGTCGCTGTTCCGTCGCAGTCGGCTGCGCTCCGAACGCAGCCGACTGCGACGCAGTCGAACCGACCGAACCGCGGAAATTATTTTCCTCCTCTCCCCTCCTCTTCACTCCTCTCCTCTCCTCTGCTCTCCTCTCTTCTCCTCTTCTCTCTTCCCCTCCCCTCCCCTCTCCTCTCCTTTTCGCCGCCTCTTCCCCCTAGGCAGGTGCTGGCGAAGAACGTCACACAGGAGGTCACAAGCTCTCCGTTTCCATACTCATCCTCGTTCTCCTCTTCTTCCTCCTCCTCCTCCTCCTCCTCCTCCTCCCCCTTCCTCTGCTCCTCCTCTCCTCCTCCTCCTCCTCCTCCTCCTCCTCTCTTCCTCTCGATCCTGCTCCTCCTCGTTCTCCTCGTCCTTCTCGTCGTCGTCCTCCTCCTCCTCCTCCTCCTCCTGCTCTTCCTCCTCCTCCTCATAGTCCTCCTCCTCCTCCTCTCTCCTCCGCCTCCTCCTCCTCCCTTGCTTTCTTCCTCTCGATCCTCCTCCTTCTCCTCCTCCTCCTCCTCCTCCTCGTGCTTCTCCTCCTCCTCCTCATCATCATCATCATCATCCTCCTCCTCCTCCTCCTCCTCCTCGGTCTCCTCCTCCTCCGACTCGCCCCTCCTCTCCTCCCTCACACTCCCCCTGTGAAGGGGGTGGCTCCAAGGTCATCGCTCTGGTGTCGGGCGGCCGTTCGAGAGGATCCGGGCACCCTCAGAGGCTCCTCGCCGAGGCGCAGCTGCAGAGCACCCCGAGGCTGGAAAAACCTCTCTTCCCGGAGATCCGACGTTATGCTTTTTCGCAACGCTTTGCATCCCGAGTCGTTTTTGACAGTCCTGGGGCCTGGTGAGGGCCCAGGGGGCCCGGAAACTACCGAAAACTTCCCTTCGTGATGATGTTTCCGTAACGAGATGAGGGGGTTCTTCCTCCCAATTCTCTTTCTCGCGATCCTCCTCCCCCTCCCACTCGATAGGCGGCACAACGTCACGGTGCAATGAAGGGCCGGCCAACAGTTTCATGCGTGAACCTTCTGGCTCGTATGCTGGCAGGCAACAGGGTGGATGGGCCTCGTGACGTGTGCCGATTGTGGGCTGTCGAGCAAACCAGCTGTTGGGATGAGGATCGCCATTGTGACCCCCCTGCGGCCTATCGCGAAATCACGACCAGAGCCCTGGACCCTGGACCCAATCTTTTTGCAGCACTTTTCGAGCCACGTCGATCTGTGATGGCCCCACGGCCCGAAATCGGGCGAAAACGCCCAGCGCCATGACAAATTACAGCGCCGGGATCGCAGGGCCTCGCCCCACCGGCAGAACTCAGCAGACCGAGTCCTCCGAGGTCCCCGACCGACAGAGACCGACCCTGTGGGGCCCGCTCTTCAGTTCTAGTCGCTCTTTGACGGTACTGGGGCTCGGCGAGGGCCCCCCAAGGCCGAAAAAGGAGAAACAGCGCAGCACAACCACAAGAACGGACAGCATCGAATCGAATGAATGCCTCTGCTGCGCCGTCCCGCGCGGCTCTCGGTCGGACCAAGGGACGGGGCGACAAAGCAGAGCGGGCCAGGCGAAGGACACAGAGGGAGCGGGGAAGCGAGGGGCCAAGGAGCCGAGGAAGGAGGAGGAGGAGGAGGAGGAGGAGGAGGAGGAGGAGGAGGAGGAGGAGCAGGGCGCGGGTGGAAGGGGGTCGGGCGAGCACGACAGGCCAGCCCTGCGCTGGCGCGGCGGCGACCCCAGCGAGAGGCATCGGGGCTGCCAGACACCCAGCGTCTCGAGGCACTCAAGGAGGAGGTCGCTCTTCGCTGGGAGGGCGACAGGGACACAGCACAGTCTTGTTGGAGGCATGGGGCCAACCGAGGTCCTCGACCGACCGACCGACCGACCGACCCCCTCGACAGGCTGGCCCTCGAGGTCGTCGTGGTCGTGTCGTGTCGTCGTCGTCGAGCCGTTGTCGTCGAGGCGTCGTCGTCGAAGCGTCGTCGTCGTCGTCGTTGATGTTGTCGTCGAGGCGTCCGCGACGTCGCAATCGTCGTCGTCGTCGTCATCGTCGTCGTCGAGGCGTCGTCGAGATATCGTCGTCGGCGTCGTCGTGTCAAAGTCGTCGTCGTCGTAATGATTATCGCTTCATCATCGTCGAAGCGTAGTCTTCGCCGTTGTCGTTGTCGTAGTCGTTGTCGAAGTGACGTCGTCGTCGATCGTGGAGGCGCCGTCGTCGAGGCATCGTCGTCGTGGCCGTCGTCTTCGTCATTGTTGTCGTCGTCGTAGTCGTCGTGTCGAAGTGTCGTCTTCGAGGCGTCGTCGAAGAGGCCTCCTCGTCGTCGTCGTCGTCGAAGCGTTGTCGGCGTCATCGTGCCGTCGTCGTCGAAGTGTTGTCGTCGTCGTCGTCGGCGTCGAGTCGTCGTCGAGGCGTTGTCGTCGAAGAGTCGTCGTCGTCGTCGTCGCCGTCGTCGTCGTCGTCGTCATTGTCGTCGTCGTCGTCGTCGATGCATCTTCGTCGTCATAGTCGTCGTGGCCTTCGCCGTTGTCGTCGTCGTCGTCATCCTTGTCGAAGTGTCGTCTTCGAGGTGTCGTCGTTGCCGTCGTCGTCATCGTCGTCGTCATTGTCGTCGTGTTCGTCGTCGTCGTAGTCGTCGTGTCGTCGTTGTCGTCGTCGTCGAAGCTTTGTCGTCGTCGTCGTCGTCGTCGTCGTCGTCTTTGTCGGCGTTGTCGGAGTGCCACCATCGAGGCGTCGTCGTCGAGTCGTCGTCGTTGAGGCGTCGTCGTCGTCGTCGTTGTCGTCGCCGACGTCGTGGCCGTCGACGTGGCCGTCGCCGTCGTCGTCGTCGTCGTCGTCGTCGTCGTCGAAGTGTCAGCTTCGAGGCGTCGTCGTCGTCGTCTTTGTCGTCGTCATCGTCGAGGCGTCGTCGTCGTCGCGTTGTCGTCGTCGTCGTTGTCGTCGTCGAGGCGTCGCCGTCGTCGTTGTCGTTATCGTCGTCGAAGTGTCGTCGTCGAGTCGTCGTCGTCGTCGTCGTCGTCGCCGTCGGCGTCGAGTCGTCGTCGTCGTCGTCGTCGTCGCCGCTACCGTCGTCGTCATCGTCGTCGTCGTCGCTGTTGTCGAAGTGTCAGCTTCGCGGCCGTCGTCGTCATCGTCGTCGTCGTCGCTGTTGTCGAAGTATCAGCTTCGCGGCGTTTCCAGGGGTCGTCGTCGTCGCTGTCTTTGTCTTTGTCGTCGTCGTCGAGGCGTCGTCGTTGTCGTTGTCGTCGTCGAGGCGTCGTCGTCGTTGTCGTTGTCAAAGTGTCGTCGTCGAGGCGTCGTCTTCGTCGTCGTCGTCGTCGTGGAGGCGTCGTCGTCGTTGTCGAAGTGCCGTCGTCGAGGCGTCGTCGTCGAGGCGTCGTCGTCGTCGTCGTTGTCGAAGCGTCGTCGTCGAGGCGTCGTCGTCGAGGCGCCGCCGTCGATGGGCGGGCCGCCTGTTGGCCCTCCAGCTGCAGCCCCAGCGCGGGGCGCAGCGCCGCCAGGGCCGCCGCGCACACCAGGCCCGGCATCATCGGGCCCGCTCCCGCCGGGCGGGCGGCGGGGCGTGGGGGAGCACAGGGGATGCGTCGACCCCTATCCAAGGCTTCACGGGGTTCTGGAGTGGACCAAAAATCTGGGGCCCAAACCTGGGATACACGAAGGGAGGGCGTGCATCCTCGATGATGGTGCGTCGGGATAGCCCCCTGGGGGTGTATCCTCAAGTTCCTCTCCTTTTCTGGGCGGCTTCGTTTTCGTCGACGAGTCGGGGGGCCCAGACCTGCGACGTCAGGAAGCCCCTGAGATCCTGGCGTATTACCCCCCATCATGGTAACGAATTATCAATTCGACGCCCTTGTTGACAGACTGCGGGCCCCACCAATAATGAAAACTATGTAATTTCCCTTGGCGCCCGCCGCGCAACCGCGACGGCGGCGAATTCTACGGCGATTACGACTACGACCACGGTGCAACGACGCTTGCGACTAAGATTACGACTGCAACCACGTTTGCGATTGCGACTACAATCGCGGCTACAATTGCACTACAACCGCGATTACAACCACGACTACAATCACAACCGCGTATTCTTGTTGCAATACTCATGAGGAGATGCTCACGCATCCTCTCGTGTGTACGGTAACCGACAAAGGACTCTGCCCTGGGAGATGCCCCCCCCCCAGGATTACCCGTCCCCCCCAACATTATGACCTCCTATACAACAATCCTTCGGTAACCCGCCACGCGTGGAATCCCCCGATATTCTGTCACGAAGTGAAGGGTCCTTTGGTTTCCGCCATAATAAAATCTTCTGCCACGGGCTGCACAAGGAATCCGTGTGTGTGCCGCCTCGAAAGAGACTTCTCCTGTATTCCGCCGTAGGTGGAATTCCTTGTATTCTGCGACAACGCGGTTCGTTTTGTATTCTGCGACGAACAAATCCTTTCGCACTCCGCAGCAAAAGGGGTAATTTTGTCACGCGCCACGAAAAACAGTTGTATCCCGCCACAAAAAGGCACCTGTTGTATCCTGCCACACGTGGAGACCCATTGTATTCCGCCACAAGAAGAAAGGAATCCGTTTCTGCTGTGTCACATGTCTCGATTCCGCCACATAAGAAAGTCGTTTGTAACGCGCCACATCAGGAATCCCGTTGTACCCCCCCCCACACAATGGAAGAAACGTATGTTGCGACTCGTTCCGAGGAAACAAAATCCGGCTTGAACTTGCATGAATGATTGCAATATGTATAGGTCAATACATACTTAATATACACATATATACGCACACACACATATTCCAATGTGCTAGCCATGTCAAGCAACACGAGTGTTTCTTTCGTACGCACATGCAGCGTTCACAACTTCTTTAGTGTTTCAAAACGTCGGGAACTGGGCAATCAAGTTGTCAGGCACTGAGCCTTACTTTAAACAGCGCCGTGATACCAATGTTGGCGCCCACAACAACTTTTAGTGTAGTAAAAACTCAAGGGCTGTGCAGGCACGGGCGAAACCAGTCCTGTATTAGACAACATCTTAAGTACTATGAAAGCTTATGGCTTTTAGTCATTCAATCAAGCTCACCATGGTCATTTTGTCATCGAATATGACGACTCACTTCTAACTCTATGACAAACGATCTTTCAGTGGCGCAATACACAAGGATTCTATGTGTGGGGGAATGCTAAAGTGACTCCTTTGTTGGCGGATTACAACACAATTCCTTTTGTGGCGGAGTACAAAGGGAATTCATGCGATACTAGAAAGAACTTGCTACGCGAGCCCAGCACATGTACTTGGAATGCAGAAGAAGTCTCCTCCTCCTCTTCCAAAGTGCATGGGGAGGAGCCCAAACAAACTGAACGGTTTGCTTGGGCCCCCCTTATGAAATATAGTCTACCTTGGTACCCACTGAGAACCCCCCCTATCCACCCAGCATCGGGGGGGGGGCAGACCTCCTACGAATTGACGCAATCAAGACGTTGGCTGCCTGGAGAAGTGCGCGCCTGAGCCCCCTCTCCGCACCTCCGTCGGTCGCAAGTGCGGGGAGGGGGCGCTGCGCAGGGTGCGGGGATCGGGGAGTCCGGCACCGACCAGCAGAAATCGGCGCGGGCATCTCAAGATTTATGTGATCGTCCGTCTGAAGCGCTTTGCGGTATGTGCCCGCCGTGCCCGCCAGAGTAATGTTTCGCCCCCGACGTTAGGAAACAACGCCTGAGAGGTCTTCTCGACGGCTTCTCAGCACAGCGAAGTGTCCATGCGCTCAGATTGGGCCAGCCCGAAGTTTGACGACACTCCCGATTTTTACTCCCTCGCACGGCTGTCCCGTCGCCTCGACGGGATTCCCCTCGAGCTTTTGCCGCCGTCGCTGCCGGCACGCTCCATGCTTTTTACGCCCATGGCCCATGGGGGGCTGGTCGTCATCGCGGCTAGACCATCCTCGAGAGTTTGCCGGCTGGGGGCAGGTCATTGGCTGGCCCGACTTTTGTGAAAGCGCATTTTGGGGTTACTTGCGCGGGGCTTCTCGTCGCCACGGCTGGACTCCCCTTGAGACGCTGACCAGAACGCGCCCCTGGACGGGTCCGAGGTCCCGAGGGTGGATGCTCGAGGCACGAGGCGCCGGAATGCAATCGGGGGGCAGGTGCAGCGCACAAAGCAGGCCCTGGT